TAATATATGGGAAAAAAGTTCGCTCCAATTTTCCTATCGATATAAATAGGAAAAATTTCTAAGAACTTTTTTCAATAAACAATACCACAAGACACAGCGTAAAAAGCTCTACAATTTACATAGAACATCTTGTTTTACAGTTGTACTTTTTGTTTTCAAAATTGACAAAATTCCGAGCGACTAAATTTCGACGCTGCGAAAAAGTTTTTTTTAGCACACGAGAAATGTATTTTTTCTTATTTAGCACTTGATATCCTTTATTTAAAAAAAAAATAAAATATACCACAAGATACAGCGTGAAAAGCTCTACGATTTACAAAGAATAATTATAAAAATATAAAATAAGAAAAAGCGAATTAATCTTGTGCCAAAGAAAATATCGTTTTCTCATGGTCGAAATTTGGTCGCTCAAAATTTTATCTATTTAAAAACAAAAAATGCAACTATAAAATAAGCGGTCTAATGTAAATAGTAGAGCTTTTTACGCTGCTTCTTGTAATATAGTTTATTGAAAAAGGTTCTCAGAAATTTTTCTATTTATATCGATAGGAAAATCGCCGCGAACTTTTTTCCCCTACCTTATTTTACTTTGTTGAGAAATCAAAATATGAGATGCATTCTAAAAAATTTGGTGATCTAAAATATCTTTTTTTGGTGATAAAAAAATTGCTACCCTTTTCTTATTCTCAATCAGATAATTTTCTCCGTTCCTATTATAACAAGCTGGCGTTTATCACGACGAACGCAATTGTATATGGCCCCTAAGCAATTTCAATTCATTTATCATCAATGCACCATCTGTGCATCATACAGCTAAATGTTTTTAATGATCAACGAATCATGACTGTTACATATTTATCGATAGGTAAAATTGACGGTAAAAAGTGATCGACCATCTTGAAAATTGTAAAATAGGGATAAAAAGTGTGAAGATGTTTTTTTTTCTCGAATACCTACCCAGAGAATACATACATTTTTCTTTTTTGCTATGTCAAGTAGAGGTGCTACATTTGATAAAATTAAATATGAAATGCAAAATTTGTTTTTCTCTTTTCTATGATGAATTACTAGAAGAAGATAGAATTAGGTGAAAATATGTTGTTTTTATATCGCTTTAATTAGTTCTGTGACGAAATAGTTTTTCTTCTTATTTCTTATGTGACGTGTACAGTTAAGTTGACTGTAGAGTACGAAAAGAAAGCGTTCTAGGTATCGTTCACTTTGTGTTTTGTACAAAATACGGGTATTATGCATCTTAAAATGTGAAGTTAAGTCGTTCGGAATATTCCATGTATTGTATGCTATCATTGCTCTTATGCTCTTACGTAAATTTTTGAATGATATGCAAATCGTTAAATGATATCGTATATGTGTAAAAAGATGTAGCCAACTGTAATAGATGTTCCGCATCTTGTCGTCGATTGTCGTGCCTATTCCCCTTTCTTTCGTTCGGTTTTTTGTTTTTTTTCTCTTCACTTTTTGTTATTTTTTCGTTTCTGCTGTTCTCCACATTTGTACAGATGCTTAGAGACGCGTCTAATCTGAGTGGGAGGGTATGCCGATATTGATATCACCTCTCACTGATCTCCCTTTCCTCTTTATCTTATTTCTATTGTCTTGTGTTCATCTCTCTCTATTGCTCTCTCCTATATAAGCGTGTGTTTTATGTGGAGTAGCTAATAAACATAATTACTGAGGGTGACAGTAAGCTACGAACCAGTTTATCGTTACACTAATGCTCTCTCACAAAAAACTAGATTGATTTACAAAAGTCTCTTCAAACAAATTTTATAAGTCTACATCTATTGAAAGTTGTCTTTTATGTTATTTATTTGAAATATAAGAAAATAATATTTTTCTCCTCAGTTTTTAAAGCTGAATTAGAAAAAGGACTATTTTCAGAAGTCAAGAGAAAAGATTATATAAACTTAAGAGTTGGTTCGAGGAAAAAAGTGATTATGGTCACATCTGTGATCTTATCAGTATTTTAAGTTTTTTTGCGATGATAAGAAAATCTAATAGAATAAAATGTAAATACTTGTAACGAGCTCTTGAAGCTCTATCAAATCATATATAAGTGAAAGAAAAAGAAAATCCACCGGAATGTTTTATTATGTGTACCATGTATTCAATTACAAACAGAATAATTATCGAATCAACGACGATGGTGAACATGAATCGACAGTAGTACTCTCTAAGAAAAATAAATGTGACTCAATATATGTGATAGAATATGGATAATTAATCATTTATGAATGAGGACAAGACTAATTATATCATAAACATTCTTTTTTTAAAAATTTTGTGACGTTCCTACAGGTGACAATGTCTTCTTCAGACTTTCTTTCTAAAAAAAAGAGATGTGGTAGAATAGATGTGTCATAGTTTTTCTCTGTTTCTTCTCTTCTGTTTTTATTACGATCTGACAGTGGATTGGATGTAGATTACAAAAGAAAATCAATCCTACTAGTTATTAACGTCTTGCCAATCACTGCACTATCGAAATTGTGATTCAAGTTGAGTGATACAGGAATTATCGTTGAATCAAGAAAAAAATAGGAATAAAACTAACTATATCAGTCTGGATTTATGCCTTGACTTACGCGTTTAAAACAATTTTAACAGAAAGAAAAAAGACAAACGAAGAGGAAGAAAAGTTATGATATGCGGACGTATCTTACTGTTTTTTTTCATCAAATAGCTAGTTCTGAGAAGATAGTATCGTCTGCTAAAATGTCAGGAAAAAGAAAGAAAAGAAAATTCCGCGAGAACTCAGAAGAAAATTATTTAGAAAAGTTACAATCAACATGGCCTTCCTGAAACAAATCATCAGTAGTCATTTCTGTCGTTCTCTTATTATGTGGCTTATTTTCATGGTCTTTTGCTAAAACTTGCGTTAAAAAAAGGCTCCTACACTTTAATTATAAATTCATCTATATTAACATAAACACAAATTTAATTATGCTCTTCTTTTATAGAAGCTATTTTGTGATTATCGTACAATATCATTTACATTGAAATAAAGAGAACTTTGATTTGTTGTTTGCACTATGTTGAAGTTTCATTACTTATGGAATAAAAATCTGCACAGAAATGCGTTCAAACTTTAAAAACTTTCACACATCTTAGAAAGCTGAATGACGATAGAATATGCTGTTGTAACAAACTAGAGAAATTCTATCATTACTACTCTCAATGATGATATTATTTAGGTGAATTATTGCATTTACTTGAGACTTACTTACTTATAATACAATATTAGGTTATGTGAAATAGAAAGAGACAGATTAAGAAAGTGCCAAATCTCTTGCACAAATATTCTCTTTCTTTCTTTTTTATGAGACTAATTGACTTTGCTCGAGTTGGTATTGGCTTGTTATTGAATGTAAAGCACGCCATGATGTAATTTCTTTTGACGTAAAGTAAAGCAACGCTGGAACACGTTCGTAAATTAAGTGTACAGAACAGAGTGCGCAATCGAATCGAATGGCATATTATTAATGTCGAATCGAATCGGGTACTAATGCAGTTTAGTCACACTCTCAGCCTCACACATACACTGATTGCTG